CATATTTGAGACAGCCGTCGATGGGCTATGCCCTTACAAAAGACCTCGTAAGAGACGATAGCTCTATGGCAGATGGATCTATTGGTTGACAGATGAAAGTTGAAGTCATAATTGCGAGAGCATGCTCACATATCCCCTTAGAGTGCAAATTTAAAAACGGTCTACNGGACTGATGTTCGCGTCCAGAACTAGAGAGTAGCGTGAATTGGTGAACGATGGCCAGTTGTCATTGATATCCTAAAAGCAACCGCATGAAGGTTGGCTACAGCAGGGAGACGGCTTTTTTTATGAAGTCTATGTCAAATTTACGGTTGACTCGTGCTGATGTTACCGGACCTGTTCCACTCTTACCTTGACTTTGATGGTGATATTGGTCACAGACGTCCGTGGCGGTTGCCCACGATCCGTAGCGCGTAACACTAACCGAACCGTGTCATTTTCCATAGTATCACGATCCAGCTTGCCAATAAATAGAATTCCAGCCGATGCATCGACGGCTAAGCCTTGGGGTACATTCTCCAAAGTGTAAACTATCTCACCATTCTCACCAATATCAGGATCGTGGGCCTGCAAGCACCATATGAGCTTTTAGTATAATAGAATGGAATAGCAGACGAGAACCGCTGCTCACCTCAAGTTTTTGCTTCAAGGTCTTCTCTTCATCGATTTCAATTAGGTACTCGGAATGTTCAAAAGTTGGGGTGTTGTCATTGATGTCTCGGACGACCACCTTACCAATGCAATCCACCCACTTACCTGAAACAATCACAGACTTGTTCCTTTGGTAACGTTTGCAAAGGCGCGCTATTCCTGTTAAGGAGCAATCGTAAGTTTTGGGGCTACAGTAGTCTCACCTCCAGTATCGGTCGCTCGCACTGTGAGCTCGAACATATCATGTTCCTCCCGATCAATGGGAACCAGTGATCGGAATTCGCCTTCTTCCGAGATGGCGAACAGCTCTGCACCTTCTCCATAAATACTGTAGGTGATTGATGGGTCGATGGCAGAATCGGCATCAGTCGCCTGAACTGAGGGAACTTTCAAGGGCGTGAAATAGTTCTAAGCGATTCGCATCAATTTTTGGCATAATCTACCGCGATACCATTGGTGTTTACTCATACGAAAGTTCAAACAAAGAACAAATTCTCATATCTCCTTGCGGAGCTGCCAAGACGAGAATGATACAAAGTACATTCGAAATGCTTCAAATAACTCAAGTTTCGTCTCAAATGGAACCGTCGAGATGGGGTGCAATATTAGGTTGAGTAAAAGTTTTGATCGATCCCAACTTTTGGTTCAAAAACTCTATTTCCATTCGAAATGGATCTCAATCAATAATACACCCTCTACTGTGATCCATAACATACGTCCACTTTTTTGATTCGGTAATTCGATACATAGTTTTTCGATTCCTGTAGCCCAGAACTGCGGCAGCTACGATCCGAAAAAGCTGGAAGTCTCAATTTCGTGTTCTGAGATTTTGTATTTCGAGATCATCAAATTTTCTATCGCGAATGATGATGTTTCAGTGCAAGAAACGAAAGGTAATCGGATGGGGTAAGATTGGGTGAATAAGGAGGATGGTGCAGCATGTCCCAGTTCGGCAATTTTCTCACGAGACAGTTTCGCAACATGCGATCGAACGCTGTTGTGAATCCTTAGGAAGTAATTCGAAGAAGAGGATTCCCTGAGAAACCACCAGCGACACAGCAAAACCTCCCCCGGATGTAGTCCCCTTCTCGACTGTCATGAAGGTGCTTCTTCATGAGAAATCCGTGGGTTGAGATACGATATCTCTTCTGAATGCGCCACATATTTGAGACAGCCGTCGATGGGCTATGCCCTTACAGAAGAAATCGTAAGAGACGACAGCTCTATGGCAGATGGATCTATCGGTTGACAGATGAAAGTTGAAGTCATAATTGCGAAACATTTACAAGAGCATGCTTACATATCCCCTTAGAGTGCAAGTTTAAAAACGGTCTACCATAAGTTATGAAAAAAATCATTCCAAGGGGCCCTCCGAAGGAATCTAGAAATCGATGAAGAGTCGATCATAACTTTCTGAGTAATCTGACGCAAATATCAGCCAGGACTATGTGAAGGGAGCTCGGCAAAGCGAACTCTAAGTTGGTCGTAGAGCAACATTAGATTGGAAAGTTTACAGATGATCGCTTTCTGGCGCAAACCGTCTTTCAAAGCTCCTCAAGAAAATAATTTTAGGAAATAATTTTGAAAAACACGCGGCTAGTGACCCTTAGCAACTTATTCGAGTGTGTACATTTCCAAGTGGTTAATCATTATGACCAAGAAAAAAAGATTGTTGCAGAATTGGTTTGGTAAATTTCGAGCGATTCGTCTAAACATTGCCAAAGCTCACCGTCACTTCTCCCAAGACGGTGGGTTTGTGATTTTCCGTGACGTAGAATGTAAATGTGTCGTGATCGCATTTCGGCGCATTATCGTTAACGTCTATCACTTCAACGTTGATTTGACAACGCCCATATGGTGAGGTCACCTTAAAGTTTTGATATTGAGAAATCATACAGTAGCAAAATGTACAAGTGAAAGCCAAATTCTCAAGAGAAGCCAGGCTTACGTAGAGCTCGAATTCCTTTCGCTTTTCGTAATCTATTACAGCAACGTCCACTGGGATGACTCTGATGTCCACGTTCGTGCTGGCTGCGGTATCGACACCGAATGCAGAAAAGCCACCTTCAACGTGAAGTGAATTCGGATCCTAAAAAAGAAACTTCAGTGAGAATACTACCTACCCAGATGGCAGACCATCAATCGTTGGATTCATACACTCATTCAAACTTAAGCAGTTCGGAAAGGAAGACAAATTAATTGAATGTTTTGAATGGGCTGTGAGTTTGACTTTCTTGTGTAGAGCCTATATGCTCTAGGCCTTCTGATAATCTTGCTCTATTCATTTCCCTTTCATGTCCCAAAGTACTGACTAGTCGATTGATCCCTTCAAAAAGGCTCGCGTTGCAGTAACACCTTTTTTATTCCATTGAGGAGCGGCAAACGGGGGAAGATTGGAGCCTCTGATCATCAGTTCACTATTGGCCCTGTTTTCTCAGAGACTGAGCAATAACGAACCGTTGGCTTCGACAATCGGATCACCAGTGGTTCCTCAAAATCCGATTCTCCTTCTTTGATCGTAGCCAAATACACTTTGCCATTACAGAGCTCTCCAGTCACCTGGAATGGGAATTTGTAGATGTAGAAATACTTGGAATTTGGAAAAATTGGAAACGCAACGTGCTAGAGATTTGAACCAGTTGATAAGCCAATTGTGCTACAACACACACCTGCGATTTTGGAGCTTCTGTGGGTTGAGCTCGAAAACGCAGTTCCTCCACTGTTTCCATTCCGTGTTCCCCTTCCTCCTTTGCCTGAAACCTTTCTCTATTAAACATTTTCAACTATACTTATAAATAGTTCTGAAAGCCTAAAAGGTGAAAGGCGGATCGAAAGGAAGAAGTCGAAAAGAATCTCCTTTAGCTGGTTCCAAGAGAGTGCAGGTCGCAATAATGAAATGCCACAACAAATGGCTGTGATCACCCAGGGCAACCTTATTCATAATCTACCGTCCACCAGGGTGGTAGTAGTTAAGGGAACTGACTTACAGAAAATATAGGCAGATTAAAAGAAGGCGATGCTCTCATAAGCTTACCGTAACCTTGAGCTGTATCAGACTGCCAGGAAGTGGAAGTTTCTTCAGCTCTACAGCTCCACTGTCTGGATCGACCGCCAAGTAATCGTTTTCTTCAATGGAATATCTAAAAAGAATAGAGCAACCTGTTCCAGTCATTAGTTTAAGGAGATGAGCAGGAGAAGATCAGCTTTGGTGAGATTTACCGTATTCTGGTCGTGTTCTTCATAGACTCGTCACCATCAACAGCCTTCAACGTGAGGATCACATCTCCGACAGACTGATCGTTGGAAAGCTGGACTTCTTGCGATAGATCGGTAACGAACACCGGGGGTTCACTGTAATATTTATTTATTTATTTAAAATACACTCATAAGAGTGTGCCCGAGTAAGGCAGAGAGCGGAAAATAACACAACTAGGCAAGGAGAAAACCAGCGCCTTACAAATTAAAAAATTAATATTAAGTTATTAAAAAGTGTTTTACGACAAACAGTATCCTTCGTGAAATGCATTCAGCGTTGGGAAGATGAGCATGCTTTACGCAATCCCTTAAAATTTCTAACGTGCAGCTGCTTCACGTTCATGCGCCTTCGACTGACTGCTTCCTTTGCTAATCCCATGTCAAGAGTTCTGCCTTCGACACGTGAGAAAGCGAGGTTATGGAGATTTGATACTGTTGAAATCACCGATCAGCCGTTTCCAGTAAGTTTTTGGCTCGGCAGCGAGACGGTGTTTTGAGATACTTTGCTTTCCTGTTTGCAGCGCAATCCCAAATGGAAGCCGGACCTTCTGTTTTCGGAGGCCGGCATAGTCGGAGCCCAGTTAGTAAGTGGCGATTCATTAAGCTTGACGACTCAATACATGAATGTAGAATGGAAGAAACGAGGCGAATTTCTAGCGACTGTTTTTCGGGGGTCACCTCGCTTCTCTCCCTCTCCTGTAACATGCGTGCTAGGTAGCGCCACTTGCCACGTCAACACCTATGTTAAATGACAATTACAAAAAACAAAAACTACCCTTGGCACCTTTTTTTATAGCAGAACGTGATCCCAGCGTTGATTTCTCCCATATAATATCGAATTGGGAATGGCTTACTCGTTCTCGTCCGTCACATGAATAGCTATCACATGTGTTGTAGATAGCGTCCGGTTTGATAGCGGATTACCATCTTCGGCCGTTACCATCACATGATGTATTCGTTGACTGAAAAATCAAAGCATGTATTGGGGAAATGTGTCCGAGTACCGATATTACAATCCATCACCTACGCGTAAAATCAATACCTATCTTGTAGCATGTACCCTAGACGAACAGATGAAAATACAAAGAAAGTTGGCCTTGGTCGATCCAACTGCTCACCTTTCAAAGTCAAGTTTCTTTGCCAATCGCAACGTTGTAAAGCATTCCTTTCCATTACATCTGGCTTTATCAATCGTAAACATATCGTTCTGGAATGGGGTAACTGGTATTGCCATTTCTGTTAAGAGAAAGTTGCTTGTCATTTAAAATTAAATCTAACATCGACAGTGAACCGTGCCATAGCAGAAATTCCAGTATCGGCGTCTCTGGTGTGTAGCTTGGTGATGGCGAAGCCGACCGACGCATTCTGTAATTTATGAATTCTAGAATATTGTTGAGAGGTAGTATAATCCTTTCATATTCAGAACTACACGCGCTACCGGGGTTTTGTAGCTTCAGAGTACCTTCCAAAGAGCTTGGCATTATCAGGACCTTGGCTCGGATTCGCACACAGGCAAATATCAACCGCAATGGCTCTTCGGATCTATGATTAACTTCCAATTGCTTGAACTTCACTAAAATAAAGCGCAGAGAAGCAGTAGGATAGATTCGTGGGCAATACCTGCCAATGACACCCACAGTCAACCAGTCGTGGAAACTTTTGTTTGAAAAACACTGTTAGAGTGATTTCAGTGCCAGTCATTTTGATTTCCTGCCATACCGGTGAGGCAAATCGGTGTTTAGAAGCATAAGCAACGAGAAAAGAAGCTTCCAAGCCAAATTCATAGTCCCCATGTTGTTCTTGTACTGCCACTTTACTAATGCTCATGGACCAACGATATCACATCACCCGAGAGACATCATGTATAACACCTTTTATTTGGGGCGTTCCTGAAAAAGTCTGTCCATCGCAATGGCGGCTATCCTGATAGGATCCAGTCCGTAACCTCTCTGATAAGATCACCACAGTGATGATAAAGGGATTATATCACAAATGTGCTACAACCATGATAATAGGTACCTGGAAAGTCCTCGAAATTCCGGACAGTTGATATGAGGCAATGTTTTTGTTGTTAGTAGGAGACACAGGAAGATAGGATCACTTTATCAATGAGCATGGTGGGCATCTGTGCTTTACGAATGAAATTCACTTCCCATTGGTTACCGAGTGACACAAGATAAATCAGGGCATATTGCTGAGCTAGTAGGATATAACAGCATGCACTGGACACGAGAAGAGCAGAGGCTTCATGTTGAGATTCTTCCAAGTTGGGAACTTGATAACCAAGGTATCCTATTTGTTAGGTTACAAATTTGACTGAGGAAACTCTTTGATTTTCTCATTGTTTCGTGGGCGCTTTTCAAGCTACGTCGTTTTCGTTCTCGTAGTTCTTCCGAAATTTCCATCCAACCATTCGCCGAAGCGTTAGTTCACAAAGATGGCGCTCATGAAAGCTCATGCGCGCATTCAACTAACCTATACCTTTAGGTTTGGAGTCGGACCCTAAAAAAGGTGGAACCTTCACGAAAGAAATCCTCTGTTCAGAAATGCTCTGAGTTTGTCAGTAATAGTGAAAAATGCTAGTCCGTGATGGCTCTTGAGTGGTCTCTGTTGAGCTTGTCCATTGTGCGAAATGTTTAACTGCGCGTCCAAAATGAAAAATTTACCGTCGTTTAACACTACGGCTTATTAGCCACTCAGGGAGCCTGCAAAGCCGAAAGCATATCCAAGGTTTTTTATTGGCTAAAAGTTCCCAAGTGATAAAAATTAAAAAGCGGTGATCGGGGA